GTGTGGCCACTGCAGTGAATTATCGAACCCAGGAGAGAGGTGGTGGGTGCTTTGGGAGGAACGGTTGGTGAAAGGGCTGGAGGGAGGCAGCATGTTTGGCCTTGCAGTAATAGGCCTTGGGTTACTGCTGTCTTCCTCTTGTGAGATTAGAGGAGGTCAAAATATGTGGCCTCCTTGCCATTTTTGCAAAGTGCTTCTGTAGGGAGTAATGTTTTACTGAACAAAGCTTTAATATTACAAGAGAAAGTTGGCCCAGCACATCTACCCAGTCTCTCAGTCTCTCTCTGTTACTGATTATCTCACCAGCCCTTATTCCACTGACCAACACACAAAAAAAGATTAATTTCCAATGAATGCTAAGAAGCTGATTATGGGAGAAAATGTCACAATCCTCAGGCACTCACCCTACACTCAAGGGTTGACTTACATGGTAAACATGCAGTAATTAGATAATTCTTTTCTAAGCCATATACACATTTCTCCATCATAATCTTATCTTAAAACACATCAAAATTTTCATTAGCAATTCATGTAGGTTAGTTCTCATATTCTTCATATGCATAAACATTCTTATGAATATCTAGCCAGTAAATAGTTGCTATCAAGTTGTTTCCACCTCATGGCAAATACCATGTGTGTCACAGTAGAACTGTACTCCACAGGATTTTAAGTCACTCATTTTCCAGAAGTAAATGACCAGGTTTTTCTTCTAAAGCACTTCTGGGTAAACCTGAATCACCAATTTTTCAGTCAGCAGCCAAGCGTGTTAACTGTTTGCATCACCAGACACTCCAAAATCAACCTGATTCTGACTCATGTGTGTCAGAGTGGAACTGTTTTCAGGACCAAGTTAATATATAGACCCTTAACAAAACCAATGAGAAGAAAGAGAAATCATCAATACCTGAAGTCGTAGAAGATTCAGCATTGCTACAGCCATGCACTCTTTCTCTTGGGGTGGGGGCCAGTCAGCAGTGCCATCCATCCCCTCACTCACTTGACGTAGTAGGAGATCTAACTGCTCAAATGTCATCGAGCAGATGTCTACCACAAAAGGAACACGGAGGCCAATGGACCATTCAGAACAAGATGACCAAGCAAAACTCTACGGAAAAAAACATAAACACCTAAAATGAATCTACCAAATTCAGCTTTCGTCCGTCCCACGTGGCACATATAGACTGTTAGGAAAGACAAGGATGCCTTGAATTATGACTTATTAAGCCCACAAAATGTATCAAATGCTACTTTCATGGCTGTCCAGCTCATATTCTATTTGCTTCCAATATTCACTCCCATTCACTACTCCCAGAGAAGAAGTTTTTTAAATCTTTCCACTCTCAAAATTATTAATGCACATTAATGGATGGCATTGAGATTCACAACCCACTTGTAGTGGTACAACAGTAACTATAAGTGGACAGGGAATGGCTAGATATACTATAACCCCTAGAGCAATCAGTAGAACACTACATATACAAAGAGGTAAACAAAAATTCAATTAATAAATTAAAATGAAATACCAAGACTATCCAAATAACACAAAAGAAGACAGGATAGGACAAAGGAATGAAAAACACCACAAAAAAAAAAATAATAAGCAAGTAATAAAATGGAAGATGCACATTCAATATGTAATTAAATTTAAATGGAATAAAAACAGAGAGAAATCGTCAGAATGGATAAAAATAAAACTAAACTATATAATATCTACAAGAAACCCACTTTAAATAAAATGTTAAAGATAGGATGAAGTTGACAGTAAGGAAAATTGCCAGGTATGAAGAGAAACATTACACAATGATATAAGATTTTGATACAATCTCAAAATACAAAACAGAACAATCCTAAATATGTCTATGCATCTAACAACCGAGCTGCTGAATTTTGATACAATCTCAAAATACAAAACAGAACAATCCTAAATGTGTCTATGCATCTATCAACAGAGCTGCAAAATATGTGGATGTAAAAATTAATAGAAGTGAAAGAAGAATGGACAAATTCACCATTACAGTTAGACACATCAAAACTACCCTCTTACTTATTGACAAACAGAAAAAAGAGCAAAGGTCTAGAAGAAACAAATACCCTCAATTAACTAGATCTAACTGACCTAACATTAGATGCAAAAAGAGCAGAATATACATTATTTCAAGTAAGCACAGAATCTTTACAACAACAGACCATATTTTGAGTCATAAAAAAATTCTTTAACTGTTTAAAAGAATTAAAATCAGGTAGAGTATGTGCTTTGACCAGAATAAAATTCAAACAGAAACCAACAACAGAAACTTGAAATCAACAAAAGTAAACTAGATGTCATTAACTGGAAAAATCTCCTCAAACACTTGGGAATTAAATGACAGGTTTCTCCATTCTAACTAAAGCAGCAAAATGTTGACAGAAAAATGCCAAGTGTGTGTAGTGTAATGCCTACAGCAACCAATGAAAAACCTATAAAAAGACATATAGTCAAAATCAAAATAAATGAATTAAAATAGAATACCAAAAAATGTTCATATAGTCAACGAGAAAAAAAAAGGGGGGGGGGACAAATTAATAGAGAAAGCAAACACAAACAACAAAACGGTAACGTTAAATCAATACATGCCAATTACAGTAGTGTTGTTGTTGTTGTTGTAGTTGTTGCTGTTGTTGTTATGTGCCTGCCGTCGAGTCGGACCCACCTCAGAGCGACCCCTCCTTGGGTTTCCAAGGCAGTATCAATACGGAAGTAGATTGCTCAACCTTCCTTCTGAGGAGTGGATGGTGGGTTTGAACCACCAGCCTTCTGGTTAGCAGTCAACTGCCTTAGGCACTCATTATGTTACCAGAGCTCCTACAGTAGTGTAAATGATCTAAACACAGCGATTAAAAAGCAGACTTTCACGTGGATTAAAAAAAATAATAATAATTAAAAAAAAAATTACTCAACTATATACAATCTCCATGAAATTCACTACAAATATTATAAGTAGGTTAAAAGTAAAAAGTGTGTAAATCTAACAAAACACACAGAAGACTTGTACGTAGAAAACTGTAAAACCATGATAAATTAAATCAAAGGAGACCAGAATCAATTTTTAGACATAAAGCTTTCATGAATAAAAAAACCAGCATAATAATAATAATGTCAATTCTCCAAAAACTGATACACTGGTTTAATCAGATTCCCAGTAAGATATTTTTGTAGATATAGACAGATGTAGAGAAAAGTGTGATAGAAATTTGTTGTTGTTGTTGTTTTTGTTGTTATGTGCCATAGAGGTGGACTCGATGCATAGCAACCCCTCCCTGAGTTTCCGAGGCAGTATCACTACGGAAGTACATTGCCCAACCTTCCTTCCTCGGAGTGGCTGGTGGGTTTGAACCACCAGCCTTCTGGTTAGCAGTCAAGTGCCTTAGGCACTATGCTACCAGAGCTACTACTTGAGAGAACACTATTTCATTTCAATTTATTAACTTCATGTGGAAAAGCAAAGGAGCTAAAACAATTTATTAAAAAGAATAAAGTGGGAGAAATCACTGCACCCATATACAGTTATGATATAGTTACAGTAAGCACGACTATGTAGACTGGCACAGCAACAGATGCATAGGTCAGTGGAAAGCAGAGAAGCCAAAAATAAACCCACACATATGCCCAATGATTTTTGACAAAGGTACAAAAGCAACTGATTGGAGGAGGCATGCCTTTTCAACAAATGTTACTGGAACAACTGGATAATCAACAAAGAAAGGAAGAAAAACTTTGACCTAACTCTCACAACTTACACAAAATTGAACTCAAAATGGATCACAATGCTAAACATAAAATATAAAACTTTAGAAACAAAATATTTAAAAAAATTCAAGACCTAAGGCTAGGCAGAATTCTTAGACTTGCCACAAAAAACACCATTCATAAAAGAAAAAAATTGATAAACTGGACTTCTCCAAAATTAAAACCTTTTTATCTGTGGAAGACTCTTTTAAGATGAGAAGATAAGCTATAAACTGGGAGAAAATATTTATGAAACATGTTATCTGACAAAATACTACAATCTAACATCTCAAACGTCAACCCTCAACAGTAAAAAGAAAATCCAATTAAAATTCAGAGAAAAGTCTCTTCAGCAAACATGGTATGAAGCAAACAACAACAACAACAACAAAAAATCAAACTTACTGTCACTGAGTTGATTCCAACTCATGGTGACCCCTATGTTACAGAGTATATATGCTCCACAGGGATTGCTAATCTGTCACAGGAGGCACTATGATTGGAAACAGACGCATACAACAACAATCTTTATGGAAGCAGTTAGGCGAGTCTTTCTTCTGCACAACCACTAGGAGGGTTCAAACTGCCAATCTTTCAGTTAGCAGCCAATATCAAAACATATACCCCATCCAAGGGCCTTAAACATCATGTACAGATTAAAAAACAAGCACAGGAAAATATTTTGACCATCATTAACCCTAGAAAAACCAGATTAAAATTACAATATCACTATACACTTACAAGAATGACTAAAATAACAATCAGTGACACTTCCAAATGATGGTAAGCAAGCAGAGAAAGAAACGTAAATATAGCATTTGCCATTATGACCCAGCAATTGGACTTCTGGGCATTTATCCCAGAGAAATGAATTTTCAAATAAAAATTTATACACAAATGTTGATAGTAGCTTTATTTGTAATTGCCAAATCTGCAAAACAATCCAGATGTCCCACAATGGGTGAATGGTTACATCCATATCATGGAACAGTATTCAGCAATAAAAAAGAATGAACATTTGATACACATAACAACTTGGAGGAATGTAAAGCACATTAGGCTGAATGAACAAGGTCAATCTCAAAAGGTCACCGATCACATAAATGCACTTTTACAACGTTCTCCAAGTGACAAAATCACAGAGATGGAGAAAGATCAGGAGTTACCAAGGAGTAGGATGTGTGGAGTACAGAAAGTAGGTATAACAACAAAAGGGGAGAAGGAAGAGTTTTGGAGTGATGGAAAATTTTTGCATAACATCTGAAGTGGCAGTGACCTGAGTCTATACATGTGATAAATGACATAGAACTAACATACACATTTATAGCAATATGAATTTGCTAACTTTGAAACTGTACTGTTGCCGGAGCCACCAAGGGAAAGCTAACATTAAGCAAGATGTGGTAAAGGGAAGAACTTTATTGTGTCGCCACTTGGCTCAGTGGATTCACATCCAGAAACTGAGCCCCGAACAAAGGTTACACAGGGTTTTTGTTTGTTTCCGGAGAACACGGAGTATATGGTAGTTGGCTTCTCTTCTGAAAAACACAAGCAGTGCAGTTTTACAGAAGTAGGAATTGCTGCAAGAGGGAGAGACCGCCTGTCAGGGGCAACAAGAGGAAGGGAGCACTTATCAGGGGTTTTCCATTCACTAAACTTCATTTCCTCAAAACTGGGTGAATCCTGCCCCATTCCCCCCTTTGGGGCTCCTTCATTCTGTTTAAAATTTAAGGAGCCTCACTTTTTTCCTGGATAATTTGTTCCGGATTCTGGTTTAACAGTTTATACTGATGAAATTATAGTACATGTGTGTTAGACTGGGTTCTCTAGAGAAACAAAATTGGTAAAGCTTACAGAGAGAAAGAAAGAGAAATTTATCTTAGCAAAATGGTTCACACACTTATAGAAGCTGGCAAGTCCAAAGTTCTTGGATCAAACATCAAGCTGGAGTCTCTTCTCGACTCTTTCAGCTGCAGGGACTAAGGAGCTCAAGATTGACAGGCAGTATACTGCCTGTAGATTCCAACAAATGATGAATCCAAGATCTCCAGGGTGAATGGTGGATTGTTCACTCACAGACAGTTGTAGGCAGCACAACAGAATCCTGATCAACAGAAGAGTGTCTCTTTTCCCAGGATGTCCATAAATACAGTGGAAGCAGGCCACACCCCTAGGGAAACCCCCTTTCAACGGATTGGCAGCTCAAAACATATTCATCTGATCCCATCATGGGAATAACCACATCACAACTGCTTAAACCACACAGAATGTGGTCCAGCCAAGTTGACACACAGCTCTAACTATCACAGTCCACCCCTTGTCAACTTGGCAGTTGTACA